CCCATCAAGAAGTGCCACCTGCTTCATCAGTACCAGGGCTGACCCTGAGAGCCTCCCACAGGTGGGTTTGTGTTGCTGCCCAGTGGCCAAGAGTCTTTAATACACCCCACAATTATCGGCCTCTTCTAGCGTTCCCCCTGCACCCTCAAAATGCCCACTCGCTAAGGGCAGGGACAGTGGGAAGAAAGGCCCTTCCACTGGAAAAGTGCCTCTATCTCCCCAGTAGACATCTCTGGATGCCCAGGTCAACTTCAGCCACTGAGTGAGAATCGAAGGAAACTCAGACTCTCCCAAGAGGCAGACCCTATGCTGCAAATTCTTCAAACACAGCACCGAATTTTGCAAGGAATACATTCCCAGTGGGTGCAACTCCATGGAGCTCCAGCCTCTCCTGGTCTAACCTGGTTAATCCTCCAATCCACAGCCCAAAGGATGGATTCCATTGCCTCCCTGAGCCATGGAGTCCCAGGCCCACACACTGTGGAGGAGACACCATCTGCCCCCATCCTCAGCCCAGGCCTGGCAGACAACATCAGCCCTAACAGGGAGAGGAGCACTGTCCCCATCCCCCTCCCCAGAAGGACACCGGGGCTGGGAGGAGAATCTTCAGGCGCCCAAGACCTCTTCTGCCTCTGTGGCTCTGCCTGCCGGCTGTGGCCTCTTCCTTGCCAGCTCTGCTTAAACAGATGAACAAGAATAAAAGCTGTGTGGCCCAAGGAAAGCTTTAGGGAAAAGAACTGAAACTGAAAGGGGGGAAAAACACAAAAAACTTTTAAGAAATGGGAGAGGATGAGAATTCAAGAAACAGACAAAATAAATCATCCAGGAATCCAGATGTAAAACAAGGCAGGCCAAAAGAAAAGAAAAATTATGCTAAGAAGTCAGAGTGAGGTGGGGAAGGAAGCTGAGAATGATAAAGACTAGGGGGCCAGTTATAAATATTCTGAAAAGAGAGAAGAATATCAAAGCAAACAACACCCGAAAAAATTTTTTCAAAAGACCCAGGAGAGAAAAGGAGGCAGCAGTGAATTGAAAACAACTGCCCTGATCCTCAATCAAATCCACTCAGTAATGTTCTTGGTGGCAACAACTGAGTCTTAGGGCTTTCGTGTGGGTTTCAGACTTTTCCTAACATTGAACAAGAACAGTCCTAGGAGAGCAAGCTTTCCTTCTTGCCTTTGTGTTTCCTACAATTTCCCCACCTCACCCCTACTGTTAGCCTTTTGTAGAGAAAAGGCTAGTCTTCCTGCGACAAGGCCAAAAACCAGTCCAACTCACCCCAGAGTAGGGTGGCTACCATCATGGTGTCCTATGGCTGGCTCACTGGAGAATGTGAGCAGCAGCCCTGTGCCAGGAAAAGAATATTAGGTTTGAGTAGAGCTGTGTGATCAGCTTCTCATCTTCTGGAGAGAGCTCTGGCCCAGCCACCTCTCTGTGGATAAGGGCTCATCTAACCCACAGACACACCATTCCTGGAGAAACACAGGTTCATGGCAGATTGGCATACCCACCTCTATGCAAAGCCAGAAAAATCCCAGCAAATGCAACTTTTGTTAACAACTTAGATGATTTAAATTAATTTCCACGTCTTCTCAAGGGAGCCTAAAGATAGCCACAACCATTGTTCTGGTTGGCAGACAGCTTCTTGAAGTTCAGTGCCTCAATGTCTTGTGTCCATAAACCCCACAAAAACTTGTGGAAGATGCTGGTCCCTTGTTGGCTTGGCTTCTTTCAGCCTTCTAATTGTTCTCTGTCTTCTGCGATTCTGTCGGTGCCTCCCTTCTCTGTGACTGCTTTGGGTTTTCCAGTTTCCTTACTTAAACCTCTATACTCTTCATTTCCCTAAGGGAGCAGGAGTTGGGAGAAAGCTGAAGCAAACCCAGGCAAAATTGAGAAGCAAAGAAAGTAACAATGTGGGTGTTGGGTTCAGTGCCCAGCTGTGCAGTGCCCAGGCTGTCCTCAGTGGGGGAGGCAGGCTCCCCGTAGATAGGCGGCTCACCAAGCATGTTCTACTGCAACTCCAAAGTTCAGCCATGGTCTGAGCTCTGGTCAGCTGGGACAAGGAAAATGGTACTCATGCCAGCCCATCTCCCTCCAAAAATTCTTATCTACTTGACCCTGATACTTCTGTACATTCCAAAAGTAACATTTCTTTTCTATCCAAAACTGAGAGGTGACAAAAAGTACAGAAGGATGAATGCCTAGGTTGTGGCCTTACACACTCAGCTTCTTGCCGTCGCTCCTAACTGTCAACCTGACACAGTCATATAATCTATGACTCACACTATTCTTTAACCATGAAAAAAGACAAACCAGGAAATTACAAGCTGAAATACCTAAAATGCAGTCCATTCAACTGAACTAATCTCCTAATAAGTGTGTGTATATTGAGAAGTCATGCTCTATCTGTTCTGAAAGATGTGGAAGTTTCCGGAAAAGTGCAAGGTGACAGCAGATCCCACCTTGTCAAGATTTGTCCTCCAAAGGATAAGTGCCTGGTCTTGGGCTGAGCTGCCCAGCAGTTTGTTAAAGGAGTCTTAAGAGCTGGGAACTAACATGTTGGCGTGGAGCACACCAACTCGATGTTCAGGCTGACCATGTTCAAAGTCTGGCACTGCCCCCACCTAGGCAAGTGGAGGACTCACCTACCTCCCTCAGTCTCCTCCGTTGTGAAATGGCAATGACAACAATCCCCATCTCCTGGGGTTGCTGTGAGGACGGATGAGCAAAGCACTTGGCACACTCTTGATGTGTATGAGCTCCCCCTCCAAAAAAAAGGAACCCAGTCAACTTTTGTTGTATGTTAAGCGGCAATTGGCAAGACCAAGAAGAGCCCTGGAGGCCCCATAAAGTGGGATTCCATAGAGCCACTGGACCTTAGTCAAGTATCCCAAGCAAGAGCGAGGAGAGCATCCCAGAGGAGGCCCAAGCAGCTGGCGGGTGGAGCGCTGGCGGGGAAAACCAAGGACAGCACTGGCAGCCAGGGTGGCTGTGTGGGTGGGAGGACGCAGGGGGCTGCACTCCAGTCTCCCTGAATTAGCTCAAGCTGGCTGCATCCCCACCCTGGCATGTGTTCATCCTTCTGTGAAATGGAGCCCACATTGACCTAGCACCCAGTATGTGCAAGGTGCTGGCTGAACAGGGAGCTGCAGTGGGAGACTTCAGCATGATCATTGCCTCAGAGACTTAATAACTGGGTGTTTCTGCCCAGATTCAGAAATCTGGCCTTTTATGAGCTGGATTGAAAGGAGATGACCAAATGCTGAGAAATTCTTATTTGGGGGCTGATTTTTTTTCTTTTAGTTAAGTGGAAAATCAAAGAGTTTAAAAGTGTTTTTAGACAGCTGAACACCAATTCAATCTTGGTAATGTTTAGGGGGTATTATTAATTTTTAGGTGGAATAATGATAATGTAGCTAAGTTTAACAAGAGTCTATTCTTTGGAGATATTGAATGAACATTTTTTTTTTTTTTTTTTTTTGAGATGGAGAGTCTTGCTCTGTCCCCCAGTCTGGGGTTCAGTGGCGTGATCTTGGCTCACTGCAACCTCAGTCCTAAAACAATTCACCTGTCTCCTGGTAGCTGGGACTACAGGCGCATTCCACCACGGCTAATTTTCATATTTTTAGTAGAGACAAATTTTTACCATATTGGCCAGGCTGGTCTCAAACTCCTGACCTCAAGTGATCCACCCAACTCAGCCTCCCAAAGTGCTGGGATTACAGGCATGAGCCACCACACCCGGCCCAGAATGAACTGACAGATGAAATAATATGATGTGATATATAGGATCGACTTTAGAATTGTACAGGCGGTAGGGAGGTGGATGGTGGCACTAATGAGCAGATTTGGCCATCAGTTGGTGATGTTGAGACTGGGTGGGCACATGGGGTCCGTCAAATTACTCTGTCTCCTTCTGCATATAAATTTTCCATAATAAAATGTTTTAAGTTCATAAAAACTAAAAATGTTTTAACTCAATGATTGTTGTATTACTAGCTTTTGCAATACAATATTTACTTCCTATAGACACATGTCCTTGGACAAGAAATGCAGCTATGGAAAAACCTGTTGGGAGCAGGGGAGGGCTGGAGAGCAGATGGACACCCCCACCCGAGGGCAGCCTTCCCCACACTTCTGTGGGGACCAAGAGTGGGGTCCTGCCCCTCTGGGCCTCTTGGGCTGGAAAGCGCAGACAGAGGGACCGATGTCCATTTTGACACTGCTTTTAAGCTCAGTAAAAATTACTTTAAGTTTGCTTTTAATGTATTTTTAAAGCACAATGAATATTTTTTTTCCTCAGCAGAAAGCCATCATAGCCGGGTGGGCAAGCTACTCAACCTTTCTAACCTCACTTTTCACAACAGGAAAGTGGGGACACTTACACATACCCTAATTCCCAGGGCGTGAGGGTGAATGTGACCAGTGTGTCGAGCGCGTCACATGGTAAGAACTGTAACAGGGTGGGTCTGATATGTGGTTTTTTGTGGCTGCTAAGCCTCTGAGAGGACCACAGGAGAGCCACCCCATTGTGAGCACCCCGTTTGAATCTGAATGGTTTTCTTAAACATTTAAGTTAAACAAAAATCGAGGCACATATCCTCTGAAACCCCTTTGGGCCAAGTACCCTGCTGGGTGTCAACCCCTTCGGGCGTCACAGAAGCCACGGCTGAGGCCCCCAGCCAGAGGAGCTGCCCAGGCTCTGAGAAGAACAGGGCAGCTGGGATGGAGCCACCACAGCTCTCTCTAGTTGAAGAATTAGTTGGAAAATGAAGAGTAGGGGACTGCCCACTCCTGTCCATGGCTTTGAATGTCAAAATGCACCCCCAGAAAGTAGACCTGCAGACCAACCCTTCCCAAAGATGGGGTTCAGAGTGCTCTAGACAGACAGCAGGCAACATCTCCCAAAAAGGAGCTGAGTCTCAGACAAGCAGTCCATGGAGGCCTCCAGACACCAGGGGCAACACAACGTCCCTTCACCAGTGTGAAGGCCCTGCCAAATGGCTGTGCAAAGGTGGCTGGGCAAGAGATACAGTTCCAAGAAGAAATCAAGGAGCCATGGCACGCAGAAGGACTCCCAGGAGAGGCAAGTGGCCTACACAACCAGTTTATGCCCCCAGACTGCTGGGTGGATGGCTTCCTCCAGACAAGCTTCAGTCAGAAGAGAGTGTTTGTGACTTTGGGTGACAAGACTGGAGGAGACAAGGGAACCTAAACAGGTGGTCATCCAGCCCACTGTCAGAGCGGCCACACCAAGTCTTTGGGTTCTTGCTCTAAGTCTCCTACCAGCCAGATGAAGGGATAGAGGATTCACATCCAGCCACATCTTGACACCGCTGATCCTGGAGGAGGAAGGATGGAGCATGGCACCTCCACCTGCTCCCTTTTCTTGCCTAGGAGGAAACAAGAAAGGAGGCCGGAGAGCCCAAGACAAAGTTCGAGAATGTTCTCAAAAGGTCCTTGGGCTTTGGGACCTTCACAATGCATTCATGAGATTATCCTAAGCTTCTGAAAGCCCCCTGGCTCCAGAGAAGAGGGCAGTCTCTGGCTACTAAACGTTGAGTGCAGCGGCTAATGGCACACTAGAGCCAGAATGCCTGGGTTCAAATCCCAGCTCTGCTATGTATTAGCTCTGTAACATTGGGCAAGGTACTTAACCCGTTTCCTCCTCTGTAAAATGAGGATAACTATGGCCCTACAGGACAGAGTTGTTGCTTAGATCAGTAGAAAACCCTCAATTAATTTAGCAAGGGGCCCTCCTCTGCCCAATGGGATGTGCTACTACTGACCCCATGGGGTTCTGGAAGAAATCAACATGCTACAACCACGTGGGAATGCATTTGAAGGAAGTGGAAAGTTTTCACAGAAAGTAGCCCAGAGACATGCACAGAGTGCTGCTCTCAGCTCAGACCAGAAACCCCAAAGATTTGTGCCGCTGTCAGAATGCAGCTTTCTGGAGTCTACCAGGCTACAGAGCTCCATGGAGTCTGGAATAGAAATGGGTTTACCTAGTCTTCCCCTGGAGTGGTGGCGAGGAAAGGTGATACTTTGAGGCTTTGTGCAGGACAAGCAGGGAGTATTGCTCAAATCCAAGCCGGCTGCCCTGTGGGGGACACAGGCCCACGCCGGCAGGCCTGGGGAGAGCCACTGCCTGCTGAGGTGAGGCCGGCACCAGTTGGTTTGAGGAGCCCACCTCTATCTCAGAGCTGGACTGGGCTTCCCGGGATGGGGAGGAAAGGGTTAAGCCGGCTCGGGCTCTGGAGGGAAAGCACTCGCAGCTATAAACAGAAAGCCCAGGGAGGGAGGGGGCTGACACAGGATGTGGCCAGGGCTCGAGCTGTCTGATTATTAACTTCACTTTTATTTGGAGGGGGATTCGATTCTCTGTTTTACTTCCCATCAAGGAAGTGAAAGCCCAGGTCTCAGAGGGGCCTGGTTTCAAATTGTTTTGTCACAGCTCATTTATTTTTCCTTTTAAATAAATAAACAAAACCACCTCTTTGTTTTCCCCTTAATGAGCATTCAGCAAATCATCTGTGGGTGAGGCATGAACGGGGTTTTCTGGAGTCCTTCATGGGAGAAGTTTGGCTTATTATTTTAAAAGGGAAAAGCAAGGATCTCGCCTTTAGCTCCAGGCTTCTCGAAGGCTGTCAAGGCACTTTCTCTTTTGCCTCCTCTGAGATATCCACTTGGACCAGCGAGGTGTCTGAAATCACAGCCTCAAGCCAGGCCAAGGCCCCAGGAGCTTCCTTGGCTGGACCCACAGCCTGCCATCCCATCTGACAGGCCCTGACACCAGGCCACGCAGAGGAAGTACCCGGCACCGGCTCAGTTGTTTGGGCGCAGACCCATGGCTCTGCTCCTACGGCACCCTGACATGTCTACTAAAAATAACTTAAAACACTTAAACACACAAAAGGATTCCATTACAGGTTTAAGAAAACACCATTACATGTTCCTTTTGCTCAAGGTTCAAAACGTTGGGAACTTGATTTCAACACAAAATTCGTATCAAAACCCATTCAATCCCATGATCCCCTTGCAACAACCTTTTCCTGAAAGACCTGCACGTGGCACCCCAGGGCCAGTATCACAGGGTCCCGACCCTCACGGGGTCTCATAATTCAACAATTCAGTGAGGGAGGATGCAGCGACAAAGACCGTAAGGAAAAAGGAGAGTTTACAGCAGCAGCTACTGCTACTCAAGGTGGGCAGAGAAGGGAGCAGGCAGATTTTGCTGGAAATTAAAAGGAGAAATCCAGGAAGGCTTCCTGGTGGAGGTGATCTTTAAGCTGAACCTTGAAGGACTGACACGATGAACGGATGTTCTGGAACCTGAGACATAACCAAGTGCCAGAGAGACAGCATCCATGTATGAACTGAGCTAGACAGAGACAACAGTGGGGCCTGGGGCTCCTCAGAATGGCATCTCAAGTCCCCATGGTGGACAGGGACTGGAATGCTTCGGCCGTCTGGAGCCAGCTCCGTGGTGCCAGTCCCTGACCTCTGGCTTGGAGACTGGTGTGCCTCTTGAGCAAGCAGATACTACGCCTGGTCTTGGACCCTGTCACTTGCCTGCCCCACAAAAACCTGCTGACCGCTGTGACCTACTTTAACGGCCTCTGACTTTCCGCTCTTCGAATATGGGGCAAAAAGAAGGAGGGCGACTGAGGCCTCTCAGTACATTTGAGGCTCAGAGGCTCAGGCCTGCCTTCGCAGCGGCTACTGGAGTGGCGCTTCCCAGCACCCCGGGGTAGCTGCCAGGGTCCAGGGCGCTCCTGCGCTTCTGCGATGCCCCCGCACTCCCGCGGCCGCGCTTCGCGGTCGGGCTCTCCCGTCGCCTCCCCGCAGCCCGCTCCGCCGCGAGCCAGTACCTAGCCGGGCCGGGCGCGGGGCCCGGGCGAGGCCGCCAAGATGGCCGACGCGCTCCGCAGCGCGCGGATCACGCGGGAGGGCTGCCCTTGGCCTCCCGGGAAGCTGCCAAGGTTCCGCCGCCCTCCCTGGCGCTCTGCCCCGGCCGGCCTGCTGGGATCTCCTTCCCGGCGCGCCCTTCAGCTCCTGGGGCCTCGCGAACCTTCCAGGCCCGAGGCCATCCAGACGCGCGCACCAGGCCCGACCCGGGAGCGGAAGGCGCGACGCAGCCCAGAGGAGAGACAGGGGCCGGGGCTGCTCCGCGGCTCGGAACGCGAGGGGCGCGTGGGCCGAGGCTGCTGCCGGAGGCTGCGGCGTGGGACGAGATCCTCGCTGCGGCTCAGGGCCTGGCCTCCCGCGGCCGCTGTCTCCCGGAAGCCCGCGGAAGCGGCGCGATGGACGTGGCCACACTGCCCTCCAGTGGCCAGCCCGCCGAACGACACGCCCGGGCGCCGTTTGGGGGTCGGGGTGACGTGTCCACGCTCTGCCTTTTGCTCCATTTGAAGGTGGGGTTTGTTCCTCCGTGGTTCCTCTTACAGGCCGCCAAAGCTGCCCTCTGCCACAGTGCACACTGACCCAACAGCAGGTTGGCCGCCTTCGGTGGCTCTCAAACTTCAACTTCAGTGTGCACAGGAATCCCCTCCCCCGGCCCCCGTCCTCCCCTTGACAATTCTTTCAGACCCGGATGTTCCCCAACTAAGTCAGAGAATTTGCATTTATAGCAAGTCCTCAGGTGATGCTGAGCTGCTGGCCCGCTGGAGCCACATTCCGAGAACCACTGGCTCGGCTCACTCTTTCTGTCCTGGGGTTTCTGTCATCCACTCATTCAATGCAGAACATGACTTGCTAGGCACGGAGGCCGAGTGGGCAGAACAAATTTCCCGCCCTCGTGGAGCTTAGTCCGAGGAGACAGACTTGTTTCAACAAATCACCTGTAAAGAAATGCAGGATTCCATTTGAAAAGGTTTTCAAATTCCTGTGAAGGAAAAAAATAAGGTGCTCAGAGAACACATATAAATGGGGCACTAATTTAGCTTTGGAATGGGAAGGTTCTCAGGGAGGACCTCTCTGATGAAACCTTCAAGCTCAGGCCAGGAGGAGGAGGGATGAGGTCCTGAGGGGAATGGGGAGGGACTGGAGCGGGCAAGCCGAGCAGGTGAGGTGCAGACAGACCCTGGCTGTAGAAGCAGAGACTGGCAGGGGCAGGCAGGGGATCAGAGCCTCCTAGGCCCATGCCTCTGGTCCCCACAGAGCTGCCTCCACAGAAGGGCAGCATCCAGGGGAGAAGAGGGCCTGGCTGCTCAGACTGTAGCCAGCCTCTCAGCACCAAGAAGGGTGCTCCACCTTCAGGAACCCCAGCCAGGTGCCCACAGCCCACAAACTTCTCTTTGCCTGAACAGATTTACATAGGTCCCTTCTGTAAGGCCTGAAGGACAGTCCCATTTGATGGAAGCAGGTCTGCTGAGTAATGATGAGTGAACGTGATGTTACCATCTACCCATCAATGCCCTCAGTGTGCCATCTCCTCCCTCCTGCAGGTCCAGGATCCAGTGAGCATTCGTAAGCACCTACTATGTGCTCTGCACCAGGATCACTGCAGTGCTGTGTGAGACATGGCACAAAGGGGCCAGCCGGCCCTCGGAGGCTCCAAGCACCCTGGAGGGCAGGTAAGTGGAGTCCACCCTCCCGGCCCCAGTGTCAGCTCCAGCCTGCTGTGTGCGCTCCTACTCTGCCCAAATGTCCCTGGGACCGCTCTTTGCAGTTGGGCCAGGCTGACAAATGGCAGCGGCAATTCTAGTGTGCAAATGCTTCTTACTTGGTATCAACACCAGCTTGATGGCAGGGGGTGGGATGAGCACCAACCACTGCTCTTTATCCCTCGTGCTCCAACAAGGAGGTACCATCCCATTAGTCCTGTTCCCTGCTCAGTCCCTTCTGTCCCCAGTTTTCACATCTGAGAAGTGTGGAGCGGGGAAGAGTTGTGTTAGATGATCTCCAAGGGTTTTTGGACCATGTCTAGCCCACCAGTGCTCTGTGGGAGAGATGGACAAGAACAGCCCTGCCCACTGACCCCATGACCCTAGCGTTATGCAAAGCAAGGCCTTTGGCATTAACGGACTCCAGGTTGGGGGATGGGAGAGGGGAGCAGCTGAAAAACAATGTGCAACTTTAGAATCAAATCAGTCCAACTCTGTTCCTGACTCTGTGATCACCGGCAAGTGGTTTTTAATCTTTCTGAGCCTCAGTTTCCTCATCTGAGAGATGGGAATCCCATGATACCTATCTCATGGGGCTGTTCTGAAGATTACTGATAACAGCTACCACTTAGCAAGTGCTTGATCCGTGCCAGGCACCACACTGAGAGCTTCCCGTCCACTCCATGAGGGCATGTGCAGAAGTGCTGGCCCTGTGCCAGCAAGAAGTAGGGCTCCACATGGTTGTTATTCTGTGACAGCCCTCCTGCTCTGCATAAATATATTTAACAGGCAAAGGCTTCGTAAGCCCTTGGCACATAATAAGCACTCAATAAACAGTGGGCTTTATTACTAGCCAGAGAGAAGGGACTCTTGTGAGGAGGTCCTACAGAAGGAGAAATATGGAGGAGTGGCTGACCCAAGATGATGGCTCACACACCTCTCCCAGGAGGGTCAGCCCCATGCCTAGCTAGGCAGTTCCCTGGCTAGGACTAGGATGGCAGCTCTTACTCACTCTTCCCAGAGAGTAGCTAATTAGCCTCCCAGCAGCCAGGAGCTCCTCAGATGAAAGGTGCTTAATACAAGCTCAAGGCGTAACCCCCATATTTATAACTAAGGTTCCCTGGGGTGAGGAAGGCCCCAGGGCAGAGAGACAGGCCAGATCAGGGCCTCGCCTTGTTTATGACGGAGGTTCCCAGGGAAGAGAGCCGGCTGGGGTGGCTGTGAGCCTGAGAAAGGGCTCTGGGTGGTGGGTGTGGGCTGCAGAGGGAGCCCCTCCCTAGGAGTGGGCGGGGCCCAGTGGCAGAGGAGGCAGAGTGAATGCTTCAGGGCCCAAGCTGTCTCCCAGAGTGGGAGCTCCAAGGTCAGGAGACAGCCTAGGATAGGGTAGATCAATGTGAGGCTCTGCTCCTGGGCTGCCAGGTCAGAATTCCAGTTTTGCTATGGCCATTCCAAGTCCCAGAGCCTCAGCTTCCTCATCTGTAAAATGGGGATAATGGTAACATTGACCTCACAGCTATTTACTGACAACACTTAGTACAGACAGGACCTGGCACCCACTATGTAAAGAATGAGGATTCATGCATTTGCTCATTCAACAGATATGTATTGAGCACCTGCTGTGTGCCAGGCACTGGGTGTTAGAAATACAGTCATGAGGCCGGGCGCAGTGGCTCACGCCTATAATCCCAGCACTTTGGGAGGCCGAGGCGGGTGGATCATGAGGTCAAGAGATCGAGACCATCTGGTTAACATGGTGAAACCCTGTCTCTACTAAAAATACAAAAATTAGCTGGGCCTGGTGGCGCATGCCTGTAGTCCCAGCTACTAGGGAGACTAAGGCAGGAGAATTGCTTGAACCCAGGAGGTGGAGGTTGCAGTGAGCCGAGATTGCGCCATTGCACTCCAGCATGGGTAACAAGAGTGAAACTCCATCTCAAAAAAAGAAAAACAAAAGAAATACAGTCATGAACGAAACAGATCCAGTATCCCTTTGATTCTATAGGGAAGACAGACAACAGACACAAGAACCGAGAGCTAGGAAATACACTGCCTGGCAGTGACTGCACTGTCGGAATCGGGTATGAGGATGGGGTCAGGTGCTCGATACAGTGGCGGAAGAGCAGGTACCCAGGCAGATATGGGGAGATTCAGAAATAGTGGGGTTGAAGGGCCAACCCAAAGTGCGCAGCAAACCAGAGGCAGGAGCCTGGGCCTGAAGCATAGGAGTCTTCACCCACAGCTGCCACAGCAGCCCTTGCAGCTCCCTCTGCCTCTCACTAAGGGGTGTGACCAACGAAGCCACCCGCCCTCACCTCCCCCTTGGCTCCAGCACCTGACTCCTGCAGTCTGGAGTCCAGCAAGGCAAGTAACTGACACAGCTCCCGCGTCCTGACAGCTTCCATTCTTTGACATTCACCAGCGTCACTGGCTGAGCTCGGGCTACACGGCCATCTTGTCTCTGAGTCCTCCCAACCAACTGGTGAGGTCCGTAGCAACCCTGTGTTTTTGTTTTGTTTTGTTTTGTTTTTGAGATGGAGTCTCACCCTTCTCGCCCAGGCTGGAGTACAGTGGTGCGGTCTTGGCTCACTGCAACCTCCGCCTCTCGGGTTCAAGTGATTCTCCTGCCTCAGCCTCCTGAGTAGCTGGGACTACAGGCATGCGCCACCACGCCCGGCTAATTTTTTGTATTTTTAGTAGAGATGGGGTTTCACTGTGTTAGCCAGGGTGGTCTCGATCTACTGACTTTGTGATCCGCTGTCTTGGCCTCCCAAAGTGCTGGGATTATAGGCATGTGCCACCACGCCTGGCCAACCCTGGGTTTTTTTTTTTTTTGCCAAGGTGAGGTTCACATAACATAAAATGAAGCATTGTAAAGTGAGCACTTCAGTGGAATTTAGTGCGTTTGCAGTGTTGTGGAACCTCCACCTCTGTCTAGTTCCAAAACATTTTTATCACCCCAAAAGGAAACCCATACCCACTAAGCGGTTGCTCTCCTTTCCCTCCTCCCCCAGGCCCTGGAAACCACCTTCTACTTCCTGTCGCTATGGGGTTGCCTGTTCTGGATACTTCACCTATCCAGAGCTTGGGGTCTGACCTCTGTCACTTAACATCATGTTTTCGAGGTTTATCCGCATTGTGACATGTGTTGGTATTGCATCTCCGTCTATGGCTAAATAATGTTCCATTGTCTGTAAGCACCCCCATCTTACAGATGAGGAGACAGGCCTGAGGTGCTGAGACTCCCAGCCTGAGTCCACACTGGAGAGACATGGTCTGTGCAAGCCTGCTGCCCAGATGGCCCCATCCTGGCACTGCCATCTGGGAGGAGGCTGCCACTGGGGACGATGCTGGTCCCGGAGTGGTGACCTGACCCCATCTGAGGTTCACTTCTCAGCGCAGGTTCACAGGTATGGGTACTCTAGACTCCCAGGCACCCTGCTCCGGGCAAGACCACAGCATGGCCACAGAGGCCACCTCCTTGGGGGAATTCCAGCCCCTGGCCAACTACAGACCATAGCACTCCCAGGGGTTCAGCCCTTTCTCACAACTGGGTTGTGACAGCTGGGAGGTATTCAGCCCTGGGGTAGCCTGGCGGGCAGGCTAGGTTGGGAACCTATCCCCAGCTGGCTTCCCAAGGCAACATGGCCAGACCCGTCGGGCAAGTGGACCACTCATGTGGCACGCATGTACTGAGCGCCCACTCTATACCAGCCTGGCACCACCAGGCCTCCAAGAAGCTCCCTTTCTGATGAGGATGAGCCACCCCAGAACAGAAACTGGGTGCTGGGGCCAGGACCAGGACAGAGGGGCGCTCCCAAGAATGAGCACTGGCACTGAGCACAGGGAGCTCCCCGCCAGCAGCACCTGACACAGCACACACCAGGGCTCCCTGGCCTCAGGAAAGTGGGGCTGCCACATCAAGAAGGCCACGACACAAGGGGCCCTGCCAACGTGCAGCCTCAGGTGGAAGGCACGGATGCGGCAGTACGCAGGACCCTAGCATGCCTGCCTGGGGATGCCCACCTCAGCCCACTTGATGGCCAGTCGAGACTCAGTGTGCACTGTCCACGCACCCTGTTCTGACACTGCCTAGTGTCCAGTTATTCATTCATTTCACTCATTCATTTGGGGCCACTCTACTGAACAATGAGGATATAAAGTTGTAAAAACAAAACAAACATGTTGCTGTCCTCTAGAAGCTTAAAATACAGCAGACTGAGAAGGCAACTAGTAATGACCACCTGGCTAGGGGCAAGGAGACCAGAGGCAGGGCCTAGCCCATGGACAGCTGCAGTTGGAGTGTGTGTGTGTGTGTGTGTGTGTGAGTGTGTGTGTGTGTGAGAGTGAGTGTGTGAGTGCGTGTGAGTGTGAGAGCAGGAGAGTGTGTGAATGTGTGTGTGTGTAAAACAGTGGGAGAGTGTGTGTGTATGAGTGTGTGTGAGAGTGGGAGTGTGTGTGTGTGTGAGTGTGTGTGCTCACGTGTCCACAGCCGAACTCACCTCCAGACAATTATGCACCCCTACCCGCTCACCCCATCCAACTTCATCCCCACCAAGGCAGGTCTACTCAGTAAGTCAGGCTGAAAACATGAGCCTGGGAGGCTGGGGCTCCTTAACTGCCACCCCCACCTGCACCTCATCCAGGATGAAAGAGGCATTATTCAGCAAGGACATGGCCACTGAAAGTGCCATGGAGGACTGGCCAAGGGGAGGGGAAGGGCTCCCTACAGCCCTTTCCCTGCTGGGCTGAGTTGAATGGCCGTGTACTTACCCAGGCTGGTACAAAGCCACTGGCCCCAGGGCCATCCCCTGATGACACAGCACTTCCTGGCTACCAGTGCATGCTGAGTATGTCACATGCATTCCTTAAACCACTAAGGTTTTACCAGTGACTTACCCAAGGTCACTGGGCCAGTGTGTAGAAAATTTGCATTCTCGTATAAGCCACTCCAAAGTCCACACTCACAGATCTAACCCAACCAAGCCAAGGGGCCTGCCACAATGCTCCCCTGTACACCTCCCACAGCTGCCTGTCTAGGGGAAAGAAGGAAATCCCTTCACACACAGCCCCTGCCCCAGCCGTGCTACAGTCCCTTTCTCTTCCTGTGCCCTAGCTGACCCCCTAGCTAAGTCCACCTTTTGGCATTCAGGGTGCACCTCCTGTCCCAGGGAGCTCCCTGAGGAGCTGGAGGGAACAGTCTGCACTGGGGCTGTGGGTGGAAGGGAAGAGGATGGGGCTAACTAGGTCCTGGGCACATAGGGCCTCACATGGGAAGGAAAACACTCCCTCAAAGGGCCAGATGCTCTCAGCCAGCTCCCACCCCCTGCTGCTGTCACGAACTTCCTTGCAGACAGGGGAGACAGCAAGCTAGATCTTCCTCCAGGTGTCTTGGCTGACCTGAAAACCCCAGGGTGCCCTGAAAGAAAGAAGGCCAGGGAAGGAATGCGTGGGAAGGTGGGTGATTGTTGCCCTCCATTCCAGTGTTGGGTGTGGGGGCCACCTGCCCAGGGAGCATAGCCTAGCTGAGGGGCAGGAATGGGCCCCTGCGTGTCCCAGGGGCAGCCCAGGGCCAGATGGGGCTAACTACAGTCCCCATGGCCAGGACATGGCTACTGAGGGGCCCAGTGACCACAGCTATGTTCTCTGGGCTCTGGCTGAAGCACTTTGCATGCGTTAATCCTAAAGCCAATCTTTACAACCTCCCTGAAAGGAAGATGCACGAGGCCCCCGTTTTACACATGAAGAAACTAAGGCTCGGAGATTAGAGAAATGTGCCCATAGCCAGATGGAGGAAACAGTAGTCAGGATTCACATCCTTCTGATTCCAAAGGCTTTGCCCTTGACAACTGCTTAGAGCTTTTCTGCTGGCTGTGCCCTGCACCAGGCTGGCACCTAAGATGTTCAGGTATTCACTGGGATGAGGAGGGAGTAGACAGGTAAGGGGATATGTGAGAGGATATGGGGATGAGTGAGAGGGCAAGTGAGTGCCTAAGTGAGTGGGCGACTGAGTGGCTGGGCAGTGAACAAGTCAGTGGACAAGCAGACTAATAAATGAATGGTGCGGTGATTAAAGGGCTGAGTGAGAGAGAGGAGCAATCGCTGCTCTGTCAAATGACCTCTGGGAGTGAAGAGGGAATGCGGCTTCTGAGAAATTGGGTGGTCCACTGGAATCTGGCTTACCATGAAGAATAGCCCCAGGTGGTCTCCCTCCCTGGAAAGGCGCTCACCCACAAAGGGACTCTGGAGGCCACAGGGTTTCTGCCTGCCAGACACACGCACATTCCATGACCAAGTAATGGGCTGGCCAGGTCAATCATCTCTAGGGCTTTGGGAGCCCCATTGCTTAAGAGGAACCTGGGCCAGGTATCGATCAGCCTACCCCTGCTGGGAGGAAAAGCGGAAAAAGAGATCCATTGGTTCTGCCCAAGGTGGAGGTGGGGGTGGGTGGCCAAGAGGCCCCAACTGCTGTCCTGGGAGGGCAGGTAGGCCTGGCCGGGACAGAGCTCCTTTGCTCTGGCTGTTGGGCCCTAGGGGTCAGTGCCCGCGTCCTGTTTGCCTAAGGGGGTGGATGCAAGGTGGTGCAGATGTGCCTCAGCAAGGGGTCACTGCCATGGACAGGGAAGGCCAATGGGGTAAGGCAGGCTGGACT